GTGATCGTAATGATGAAAACAGATATCATATAACACATTTGTTATAGTTGGATAATCCAACTTGGATTTAATAGTTATTAAGAATCAAAAGTATAATTTAAATTAAAAATTCAAATTCAAAAACAGAACTCTCCCTATTTTTAATTTAAATTATACTTTTGATTCTCAATAACTATTAAATCTAATCAATTACTTGTTGTTTGTGCTACACCTGTAGCTTAAACCAGTATATTTTAGCCGCTACTGATTCATGAAATTATTTTTACTATACTTTTTCTACACCAAATACTTAATATTATCTAAAACGATTTAAATTAAATATTTATATAAAGCGACACCTATACGAAAATAAAGTAACCCACCCAATAAACATTTTTGAGGTAATTTTCACCATTAACATTGCCCGAAATAACTTCAAAATATGATTATGTTAAGAAAATGTTTTATCCTTTGATTTTTTTATTACCATAATTACAATATATTATTATTAAAAATTATTATTCGGGAAATGTTAAAGATACAAAAAGTGACAGTTGTATTTATTGAAATTCCCGTTAGAATTTTTAACTTGGGAATCTACCGGCGTTAAAATCTCATTTTTTTCTGTGTAAATAAAAATTTATCCCTTAAAAATAGACAACAATCGAAGTAGTAGCAGTTTTTCACAGTTAAAGAGAAGAGAATGTTTTATGGGCACAGTACGCAAAATTTTTAGTTAAATCTGGTTAACTGCAATACTACGGTAAAATCAAAAGGTCAGTACCAGAGCTGCAACAAGTCAGTTTTAAAAAGACTTAAATCTAAGTCTTAAGTCAATTTTAAAATCAAAATGATTTAAATCTTAAGTCAATACCAAGATAAAGTTCAAATGATTTAAGTCTTTGAATTAAATCATTTTCTTTCAAGTCAAGTCATTTTCGCAAATTCTTAAATCAATATAAAGTGATTCCTTTTGTAAGTCGTTTTTTTGACTTAAGTCTATATTGTTTATTTAAATCGTGATCTAAGAGTTAAGTCAATAAAATGACTTGAATCAAAATTTGTGATTTAAATCAAAATACACACATGGAAAAAAGTTAGGGATATTAATAAATTATAAACTTATGCTAGATTTTTCTTCGAGCAAAGAACCCACCAATATTGTACATCACTTATAATTCAATACACTATATATATATATATATTTCATTTTTTTAGTGTATTGAATTATACAGTGATGTACAATATTGGTGGTTTCTTTGCTCGAAGAAAAATCTAACATAAGTTTATAATTTATTAATATCCCTAACTTTTTTCCATGTGTGTAATTACCCTTAAGTCAATAAAACGATTTTTTAAATGTTAATAATAATTTTATGGTATTAATGATACTGTTATTATTAATCTATTGTAGATACAGATGATGATGTTAAGAATTTAAAACGATTTATTTTCACTTACAAACAAAATAAAAACTTAAAACATACTTTTTGAGTAGGTATTAGGGGTGTCAATCCCGAGCCCATTTTCCAATCCCGGGCCTTTCGGGACCAAAGGTAACTAATCCCGGGATCCCGGGATCAGTCCCGAAAAATTATATATATATATATATATATATCATTAATTTTAAAACCAATTTAAAATAAAACAACAAACAAACTAACGAACGATATCTTTCGGACTTCACACTAGTCGGAAGAAGGTTTTCAAGAATTTGTAGGCACATTGTACCCACGTTTACCCCCATTAACAAATAATTTCATTTCTTTTATCAATCGGGCCTTGGTGAGTTCCAATTGGGGCTGTAACTTACATTGAAATTATCAAGTTTGTGCCATTTTTTCAGGTTTGACGTTTGAAATATGTTATATTATAGGTTATGTACATCAATTTATTCTACAGTGACCTGTAATTTTACATTTTCTTTGCTGATTTTATGCTATAGATGGAACCACTCTTGCTATGTAATTTCAACGTATCAATATTGTACGGCGGTGTATAATAATTTGACTTGAACTGAGTAAAAAAGTGAAGTGTTTATATATGTATATGCTTATATAAAAAAAAGTTTATATACAAAAGTGCTCTTTTAGTTCCACCCTTACTTCTTAAGAAGTCCCATAAGCCATTTAGTGCTTGTGCGGGTTAGGGGTAGGAACGGACCGCGGGCTTAAAGTCCCCTCCGAAGGACTATTACACAATAGGACAACACAATTCAACAGCCATACCCTTGGTGGGATTCGAACCCACGACCTCCGGCTTGTAGTCAGCAGCACTAACCACTAGACCACCGTCGGCGATTATGAGTATATGAAAAATGTCATACGCTTAAAAAAGTCTATTTTATTCTTTGTAACTTATTACTAAGATCCCGGGATTGGGACTTTTAATCCCGGGATTTTCGGGATCGGATTTTTTACGGGATCCCGGGACCCCGGGATTTCGGGATCCCGGGATTGACACCCCTAGTAGGTATATAGTAGACAATCAAAATAAAAACTTTTTTAGTAGAGTAGACATACAGGGAGGCTACTTTTTTATATACATAAATGGGTAAGTTCTAAACGGTAATAGATTCAAATTTTTTTAAAATAGATAAAAGTTGAAGCATTTTACTTAAAATCGCTTTATTTCAAAAACTGATAACTTGTTGTTTTGTTAACTTTTGTTAGCTGGTTCAACATCCATCTAGAAAAAAAATATTCCTCCCTTAAGGGAGTAATGATGAGAGGTTCCAAACTCTCGATTCACGACCGCTCAAGATTTACGACTGCTCACGACTACTCCCGATTCATGATTGTTCACGATTTACGACCACTCACGACTGTAATAATTCAAGACTACTCACGTTCACGCACAATCACGTTTGAATAATTTTATTCACGCACAATCACGTTTTTTTGTCGTAATTATTTACTTTAACAAACCGAAACACCCTGTATGATATAAAAACGTCTTTAAAATATTTATTCATCTTTACCTGTTAATCGTTTGTTTCCACTTTGCACTAATAATCACAAATTAGACCTAACAACGCACGCATAACACGACGAATGTTGGCAAACAAAATAACAAAATTATAAATCCCCACTTTTTTTCATTCATTTTAGACAGGACACTTTTTAATGTAGCCGTCAAACGGTTCCGAAAAGCTAACTTTACCGCGGCAGTTTTTTTTATTCACTAGCGGTAGCAATTGTAGGTAGGAAATTTAAGGAGTTTTTGATCTGCTGCCGCGTGAACCCCTGGCAGTTCAAAAGAAAATGCCGCTGTTAAAAATGTACAAAAAAATATATGAAAAAACTGACTTCAATATTTTCTAAAAAGACTTAAATCTTTTTAAATTACCTAAAAAATTTACCGACTTTAATAAAGACTTAATTCTTTTTTTTTTTACTTAAATCGTTTCTATCTGACTTAAATCGTATGTACTGATTTAAGTCTTTTATTAATGACTTAAGTTTTTTCTATTTTGAAAAAATATTTAAGTGACTTATTACCAAATGACTTAAGTAATTAAAACGATTTAAATAAAAAAAAACGATTTAAGTTTTCTGAGAGCTCAGTACAAACTTTCATATAATCTTTTCAAATATGGGCGTCAAGAAACTATTTAATTCTTTTGTATTTTTGTATTGAGATAATAAAATAATTTTTACGTTTAGTGTTTTTTTACCAGAAAAGCACTATATTTTAATGATTGTATGACATTTGACAACTGTCTATTAACTTAAAACTAATTTCAGCCCGTGACTAAAAACCTGTTGCAGCATTTAAATTGGCGCCTGGTGGATTTGGCATATACCATATCTCAGTTATTAAACATGGGACCCACACTAAATTTATATGAGTTTATAATGACACTAAATTAACAAGTTCTGCGCAAGCATAATTTAAAAAAGAAGTTTGCGAAAAAAAGATAATACAAATTTTAGTGGGGCCATTTATAATTTAACTTGAATTATTATATATTTATTTAAAAAATCCAAGTATTTATTACAGATATTACTTTATTTTTTATTATTTTGGGAAAAGTAATACAAATTTAAAATAGGATAAACTCTGAAATATTGTCATTTTTTAAATAAATTTTAAAAAATTTCAATTAACTATGGTAAAATATAAATTGCACCACTAAAATTTGTATTATCTTTATTAGGGGGGCAGGCTGCAGGGGAGCTGCAGCAAAATAGTATATTACACTACAAGGGCAGAAAGTGTGAGATTCCTGCACTGCGCGCCATGATGCCCGAGGCGAAGCCGAGGGCATCATGGCGCGCAGTTCAGGGCTCTCACACTTTCTGCCCGTGTAGTGTATACTATTTTTCTTGCTACCCGGCCGAAAATACAACCCAACCCAACCCGGCCGAAAATACGGGAAAAAATTAAATGTGTATATCGAAACATATTGATGCCTGCCCCGACATTTGCGGCACGAGCGAAGCCTTCGTAGCCCTTGTAGTGATATATATCGAAAATACGTTGTTTCGTCCCCGATTCCAATGCATCAAAAGTAAATTTGACCAATGCATCAAAAGTAAACTTTCTGCAGTGGAATGGGGGACGAAACAACGTATTTTCGGCCGAGGTAGTAAGAAAACTTTATTTGCAAACTTCTATTTAAATTCGGGTTACGCAGAACTTGTTAATTTAGTGTCATTATAAACAAATAAATTTGGTGTGGGTCCCATTTCTAATAACCAAGATATCGTTATACGCAAAATCCACCAGCCGCCTGAAGTTAGCAACAGTTTCTAACTTGACGTCAAGAAACTATTTAATACTTTTGTATTTTTGTATTAAGATAACAAAATAATTTTTACATTTAGTATAACAAGAAAGGCTCTTTGTTTTAAAGATTATATGACATTTGACAACTGTCAACTAACTTCAGCCCGTGACTAAAGCGCCATAAAGCCACAGATTGTCAATGTGTGTTTAAAAGGTCACTTAGTGTCATGAAAACATGTACAAAAATGGGCGTTTTAAAGGTGGGAGTAGAAAAAAATTCACAAGATTTTGGTATCTAAAATATATATTTAAAATTTATTGCCATATTTTAGTTGTTAACTTAATAATATCGTTCATCTGCAGTAACCAGCTGCCCAATTGCCTTCCTTGTAACAATTTCCCGAACAACAATTTCCTTGACTTCCGTTAGGTTGGCAGCCATTGCCTTTGGCAATACACGCCAAAACCACGCTCTGGAAGCTCATAAGAGCGAAAATAACCAGAAATATTAAAGATAGAAGTTGCGTTTTTAGTTGTAAGTCTGAAAGTGTTAAAATTAATTACTGTTTTTTATTTTTTTTTGATGAGCAATATTTTTCTTTTCTTACCTCTGCAAATATCTTCACGATGACTTGAATTAAACTGATACAAGTTCAAGACATCGACTCCCTTTTATATTAAGTCTTTATCTGTTTTTGATACTGCAAATGGAAAAACCCGATTGTGCAAATCCAATTTGCAGAAATTGTTTGGAAATTTAATTTTGTATGATATATATGTGTATACACATTTTGTTCTAAGTAATTTATGTTAATTTTTTTGTTTATAAATATAATGGCTAATTTTTAATTTATGTGTCTTAAAAAATTCAGTGCATCTAAAAAACTTCTTTTTGAAACATAATGTACATACATTTCGCACATGGGCGACAACAGTGTCATAAGTCAAAAAAACTGAAATTTGGGTTTTTTAGTGAAATAAGTGTAAAATTACTCATAGTTCATACTGCAACAGTGGCATTAAGATATTTTTACAATTAATACCTACATACATAATTTTCATCAACAGTGTCATAAGTAGGGATGGGATATTTAGGTACTAAAAACTGAAAAATAGGTAACTAAAAAGGTACTAAAAAAAGCATTTTAGGTTAAAAAAAGGCATTTTAGGTAAAAAAAACATTAAAAGTTCAAGTTTCTTTTATAATTTTGTTTAGCCGCATACCCAAACACAGAACATACCCACAATAAACTATTTCTATGCAATAAACTGTGTTTCACTGAGTGACACTCACACCACAGAAATTCTATGACAGAACATAAGCTTAATACAAAGAAATACTGTAAAGAAAGTTACTGTTACAGTCTGTGACCCATAGAAATAATTTAGAATAATAGAATAATTTCTATGCTGTGACCATAAGAAAAAATTCTATACCGTTGAGTTGCACGCCCTGGATAAAATATTGGCGGAAAATTTAAAAAGAACACAAAAAAATAAAATAAGTAAAAATACGTAAAAATAGATAAAAAATATGTGAAAATAAACTGACAAATTAAAAAATATGTAACAAAAGTATAAAAAGGTAGTTTAAAGCAAAAACCTCCAAAAAAGGTAAAAAAGGTGAAAACTAGTTAAAAAAATAGGTAAGAAAAGTATAAAAAGGTAGTTTAAAGCAAAAACCTCCAAAAAAGGTAAAAAAGGTGAAAACAAGTTAGGTTCATATAAAAGAAAATCTTTTAAAACACATTTTGGCATTATTGGTTTTCAAATAGTTACATCGGTTGAAAAAAGGTAAAATAACTAAAATCCCATCCCTAGTCATAAGTAAGTTGTGACAGTAATTTTGTTAACGTAGGTTAGTAAAATTACAATAAAAGAATGAATAAGTGACCCTCCTCACCTTAAGGCAAACGGTCATGTGTCTAGGGTCTCGTTTAACGCGTTCGTACTATCATAACCGCTATCGGTGTTCAAATTCATAAAATCAATTAATGATTCTACAAGTGATCTACCAGAACCAAGTGCAAAAAGGGTGCAAATTGCGTGAGGCACCTCCTCCCGGATTAAATCCCAAACTGCTCTACCTGTGAAAAAGGGTAAGTGAGGTTATTGGATACAACGAATAATTCTTCCTGCATTAACGACACAGAAACAACACGTGCTAATAGACTATTAGCACGTGTTGTTAGTAATAGTTGGCTGTCGAGGTTAAAGAATAATTTCACAACAACTGCCTGTCAATGCACCCGAAGTTCAAGTTTGCATAAACCTGATAACTTAACCTGACCTTAATAATACTTAAATACTAAATTTGAGGCAAAATTCGCAACCTCAACTTATAAAGAACTCCACCTGGTATAAAATAATTAGTCGCCAACAGTTTCTATAAGAACAGCAAGCATAGCCAAAGAACTCATAAATAAGGGCTCACATACGCAGTTATTAATTACTAGTATACTCAAGTTCAAATAAACACTAGGCAAAAGACCCATATTCATAAGTTTTATTTCCCACATGTTGCTCATAACATATAAGTCATAAGTTTTGTTGGTTTTATTTGTGGCCAACAACTTTTTACAAAGAAAAAGTGCACCTGAATGTTTTCCTCAATACAACAGTTTCTCGTAAAAACTTCTAAGCGGTTTTTATCTGTCTTGTGGATTATCCAAAATAAATAGTAAAGTTAAAATTGTTTTATTGGTTCACTTAACATAAGTTAATTTGCTGTAATACGTAATATAATCTCTATATAGATTTTGATGAATTCATAAGATGATAAAAATGAAAAGAACTGAACATCATTATGTTATGGTATTTTATATTATTTATTACAAATACAGAACTTTTGCAAACATTCCAACTCTAACGAAAGGGTTAACTGTTAAGGTGACCAACTGTTCTGATTTAATCAGAACTATACTGTTTTTGAAGTCTTCATTCTGACAGGAAATCGAAGGTAGTAGAAGTTCTGATTTTCCTATTTTGGTTCTGGTCTGTTCTGATTTAGCTTACCATATAAAATTAACTTCCAATTTTGATAAATCCATATTAATTTATTAGGTATACCTAATAACTAAAAATAACTAAGCTAAATTTCATAATAATTATATATACATATATATGGGGAATTCCACGCCAAATCGACCACTTCTGACCTTTCGATTTGACTGAACTTTTAAAATTTTTTTCTACCCAACCAAAAAAAGTTTTTCAAAAAAATTGCCAATTTTCTTTTAAAATACACATAACTTTGTCAAAATTTGACTAAATGGGGAAGTTTTTTTTTGGCTTTTCAGAAAAAAATACAAAAAAGTTTGGGAAAAAGAGACATTTTTTTGAAAAATATTTAACGGTTTTGGTCGGGTGAAAAAACTAGAAAATTCTAAGAAAAATTTTTCGTGGGGTGAAAAAATATAACATAATTTCAGCCAAATCGACCCGGGTTCAAAAGTGGCCGATTTGGAATGGAACGACCCATATATAAAATAACTATTATGAAATTTGTGTTTTAAACTCAATTTAGAGTAAATAATAATTAACATAGGTAGTTGCACAAAAAACCGGCAAAAATAGGGCAACACCTCTTTTTCTAAAAAAACCGCTAATCTGGTTTTCCCCTTTACACAGTTGGTCACCTTAGGTTAACATAATCTTAATGCATATTTAGATTAAGCCTACACTCTTACTAATGAAGGTACTTCATAATTTTGTTGAAATTATAATTATTATTTGTAAATAGTATAATATTTATAGATTAATTCTGGAATATTACCTATATTAAAGAACTAATCTCATAAGACGTAATTTTGTCGCACGCGGAAAATTTATAAATGAATGAGTTCTTTATGCTATTTTATCTATAGTACAAAAATTATATAAAAAAATTAATTATATACCTTAAATTTAATTTGGTCGAATTTTGCTTTAGATAGTTGGTATCACAGTCATTGGTTTGACAGTTAATGTCAAAATCGATTCGCCATGCCGTCCTTAATTTACTTATTTACAATAAGCGGCTGTTAATGTTAAAAAAGAAAAAAAATATTTTCTTTGCCATTGCCAGAAAACTCTTGTAAGTACTAGAAAAATCATAAAAATATTATAACCAATATGCAAAATATTATGATGTTTAAAGTATAGCCAACCTATAAAGTCAAAATTTTGGGTGGGATAAAGTATCTCATTAAAACACCGAAAGCGGTGTTATAATTATTAATAATTATAATTATTAATGACTTAAGTCATTATGAACGCAAAATAGATAAAAAATATATTTTTGAATACAATTTTATTTCGTTTAATAAAAATCATATGAGTAGGTATGTTCCAAAACCGTTTAGATTGCCTATTGCATTTTTTATGTTTTTAAATTACAAAAAAGCCATTTTGACCTTGTTTACAAAAAAACACACAATTCTTATACATTAAACATTTATTGAATAACCATAAGCAAAATAATAATATTTATTAACCAATTTTAAATTTTACCAAAATAGTAAAAAATATGACGTTTCTTACATAACTTGTTACTTATGTAAGTATTTAATTTAAATTATTCTTTTGATTCTCTGTAATTATTGTACCTGTAGGTTAAACCAGTATATTTTCGCCGCTACTGATTCAATGAAATTAAAATTTTTATAGAACCAAGATTATTAACACTAAAAACTTGTTTTATAATTTTATTAAGATACATTGAATGGTTTACAAAATAATGTTATTTTTATGTACTTTTACATGATTTATAGATGTAAAATATATATTTAAAATTCTTCTCCATAATGATTCTTTACAGACATTTAATTGTTAACTTAATAACATCGTTGTTTATCTGCAGTAACCAGCAGCCCAGTTACCTTCTTTGTAACAATTTCCCGAACAACAGTTTCCTTGACTTCCGTTAGGTTGGCAGCCATTGCCGTTGGCAATACACGCCAAAACCAAGCTCTGGAAGCTCATAAGAGCAAAAATAACCAGAAAGAGTAAAGACAGAAGTTGCATTTTAGTTGTAAATCTGAAAGTCATAAAATTAGTTACTGTATTCTTTTTTAATTTAATTTTGATGAACAAGTTTTTTTTTCTTACCTGTGCAGATATCTTCACGAAGACTTGGATTAAACTGATACAAATTCAAGACATCGACTTCCTTTTATATTAAGTCTTTATCTGTTTTTGATACTGCAAATGGAAAAACCCGATTGTGCAAATGCAATTTGCAGAAATTTAATTTTGTATAACATACACATTGTGTTCAAAGTGATTTATGCTTATTTTTTGTTTATAAATATAATGGCTGATTTTTAATTTATTTGTGTCTTAAAAAATTCAGTGTATCTAAAAAAACTTTTTTTTAAACATAATGTACATTTGTCAACCATGCCAACCCCAGCAGCCTAATTTGAATTGTTTCTATAACAACCGTTTTTGGACTTGCAATATACAAGGTGTCCCTGAAATGTCTATGTAAAATAATAACTCATATCCATTTGTACATATTTTTAAAAAATATATAAAAAGTATATGTTTATATACATTTAGAAAGTATACCAAAGGTAAAAAAGTAATTTTTTTATTAAAATCGTGAATATTTTAAGGCGCAAAAAAGATGCGACAAAAAACCCAAACGTCTGTTTTTCCCAAAGTTATTTCATAAAATTGAAAACATTGACACCCTGTATCTTGGTTACTTTTGTATAGAAAAAATAAATATCGCAATATATTCAATTTTAAAATACAAATCAAATATTCTCTTGTACTGACCTAAAAAACATTTAGTTGATTTGGTCCCGACAAAATAAAACCCAGCTATATTTTTCGTACAGTTATAACATAAAGATATATTGTTCCACAATTTAAACCTTGTCATATCGTTGTAGTAGGCCTTATCACGTTGAAAATAAAAAAGATCAAAGAATATATCTCGTGGTAATCCACATGGATACACACTCGTCCTTTTTCGGTGATTGTTATGTCAGATTAAAGGTTATGAAGACGTCCCAACCACCATCAATTCCGTTTTAGAAAATGGCATTATAAATCTTATCTACACTTTGGAACAATGTGAATTTCGGGGTTTTGGTTAAGTGTAATGTATTAGTAAAAGGATATTTTTTTAAAAGTTTTATACAGTGATCGCAAAAGTATGAAACAAAGTCATTAAAAAATGTGCATTTTTTCCAAATTCCTTGAATTTGCTTTTTAATTCCGCACACTTAATGTAAAATTTTCATATTTTCCGCCATTTTTGTAGAAGCTATGACGTTTTTGACAGTAATAAAGCCTATCCGAAAATTCTCTGAGAACGTTTTGGATGACTTCTGCACCAATAAAGTGACATCCTTCCCGAATTTGATTTTTAAAGTCTTCTAAATTTTGTGGTCTGTTGATGTAGACCTTTGATTTAGGGTAGCCCTATAGGAAATAATCGAGAGGGGATGAGATCTGGAGATCTCGCTGGCCACTCTATCGGTATTTATTTATTTATTTATATATTTATTTATTTATTTATTCATTCATTCATTCATTCATTCATTCATTCATTCATTCATTCATTCATTCATTCATTCATTCATTCATTCATTCATTCATTCATTCATTCATTCATTCATTCATTCATTCATTCATTCATTCATTCATTCATTCATTCATTCATTCATTCATTCATTCATTCATTCATTTATTTATTTATTTATTTATTTATTTATTTATTTATTTATTTATTAAAGAATGACCCTACAGGAAAATTTTCCCAATTCCAGAGCTTTTTCTAAAATTAACTTAAAAGTAATTAACTTAAGACTAATTTAAATATATGTATTATAACTTCTATTCTTACTTAAATCTACTTACCAAATAAAAATACACTTTCAATAAATACTTGAAAGTATTCCTAATACAAAATTGGTACGTAAAAATTTATTCTATTTAAAGAAAAAATGTAATCAACCAAATATGTATTACCTTGTACAAATAGCATAATTTGACAAAAGATCTTCTATTCAACCAAATATGTATTACCTTGTACAAATAGCATAATTTGACAAAAGATCTTCTATTTTCTAGCGATAAAATGTTAGATATTTTGATAAAATTTAAATAATTGTATTCAATGGGAATTTTAAGATAGTAATTTGTAAGTTTATAAAAGTAATTTTGTATTTTATCAATAGATGCTGTATATTTTTTGTAAAAAGGATCCCAAAGAACACAATCATATTCTAATTGCGGTCGTATATACATAGATATTAGGGTGGAGCGAAAAAAAAATTTTGGAATTTGTAGCCTATAAAAAAAGAAATTTTTGAAAAAAAATTTTTTTTTACTCAACGTCTTGAGGTGGCCCACTGATTTTTTAAATTAAATTTAAGTTAAAAACAAGTGGTCGTAAAATTTTTTTCAAAAGTGTTCCGGAAACTGCGGAGGGTCCTCTTTCTTGCTAATTAACAGTTATGAACTTAAAATTTTTTTTGTGGTCATTATTGTTGCTTTTCTGAGTCAATAGAGCGAATTTCGAGTTGAACACGATCAAATTTGTTTATTTTTAGATAAATTTGAAGATTACAAGCCAAAAAAAAATTTTTTTTATTCAAAAGAATTTTAACTTAAATTGAATTTAAAAAATCAGTGGGCCACCTCAAGACGTTGAGAAAAAAAAATTTTTTTTCAAAAATTTTCTTTTATTATAGGCTACAAATTCCACCCCAAGGCTAAGGAAATTTCTAACAATATATCCTATTTTTTATAACTATTTTTGGTTATATTTTCAATATGAGTATCAAATTTTAAAACTGGGTCAATATAAATTCCTTAACAATTTCAACCTTATTAATATTAATATTATTTAAAATATAAAATTTATTTTATTGTGCCTGTAAGAAAATTTCATTGTATTGCATTTATGAATATTAAGGGAAAGGTTATTTTTATCTGACCATCTAAAAATTGAATTTAAATTTTAGAAATATTTAAAAAAAAATTGGCATCATCCGCAAAGAGTCGTATCTCAGAATATTTTATAACATCACAGATATCATTTATAAACAAAATAAAAATTAATGGTCCCAAATTTGAACCCTGAGGTACACCTGAGGTAGAATTGTAGGATGATGAAATATGGCCGTTATAAAAAACCCTTTGTTTACGATCATGCAAATACGAAGATATGAACTCACAAAAATTATCGGTAAATCCATAAAAAGCTTTAAGTTTATACAATATAATTCTGTGATTAACCTTATGTATGTATTCAATAAAATTAAGTAAATTACTAGTAGTTAATCTTTTACCAAAAAAGCCATGTTGATGTTGAGACAACATATTTCCAACATATATATATATATATATATATATATATATATATATATATATATATATATATATTTATAAACAATTGACTCAAATATTTTACTCACACAAAACAATACAGAAATTGGGCGATAATTTATAATATTTGTTTTATCACCAGACTTAAACAGTGGAGACACCTTTGCATTTTTTTTAAACTTTTGGAAACTTTTTTGATTTTAATGATTAAAATGATTAAACAAATAGCACAGAGGAACATTTCTGCTAATGTGGGAAGAGGACAGGAAGTTCCTGTCAGGAACTATCATCCGATTTTCCACCATTTCTGCCCACATTCACTTTTTGCCGGTATTGGCAATTTCCCTCTACTACATTTTTTTAAAATTTTTGGAAACTTTTTTGATTTAAATGATTAAAATGATTAAATAAATAGCACAGAGGAACATTTCTGCTAATGTGGGAAGAGGACAGGAAGTTCCTGTCAGGAACTATCATCCGATTTTCCACCATTCCTGCCCACATTCACTTTTTGCCGGTATTGGGAATTTCCCTCTACTACTACTACAATGAGGATTTTTTCTGCTCCAGTACCCACAATTTGGACGGTTGACTGTACCATTCAAACAAAAGGTAGCTTCGTCCGAAAAAAGTATTTTACGAGGAAAGTGTGGATTATTGTTACATAAATTCATCATAGTTTCACAAATATAAGACGTAATACTGACTTGACTTTCTAGAAGCACTGCAGTTTGCATTTTATTTAATGCAAAGTATTCAGCTCGAAAATGCATTAAATAAATTGCAAACTTCTTGTTGTGTTCTAGTTTTATTGCCACATCCTATGAGAAATAAAACTTCAATTCTCTGTGTTTCCGTTAAATGACCCATACAAAAGTTTATACAAAAGTGCTCTTTTAGTTCCACCCTTACTTCTTAAGAAGTCTCATAAGCCAACTGAATGGCTTGTGCGGGTTAGAAGTAGGAACGGACCGCGGGCTTAAAGTCCCCTCCGAAGGACTATTACACAATAGGACAACACAAATAAACAGCCATACCCCTGGTGGGATTCGAACCCACGACCTCCGGCTTGTAGTCAGCAGCACTAACCACTAGACCACCGTCGGCGATTTATTTAATACTTCGAAATATTTGGAGAACGCTTATCTGTCTATCTAAAGTATACTTCACTGAACGCTCAACTACATGTAGTATAGTTGGGTTTTTAATCATGACCCTCACGTGACATTTGTAATTATATAGCTCAGACATTCGTATTGTATTTCCACGCCGCAGGAGCGCTGGGACGTAGCATATAGTGATAAATAAACGTATGTCTAATAATACCACAACAGTTGCTTTACATTGTTGCCGTAGGGCTCATGACTTAAAAATTCAACTATAGTAAATAGTTTTTTTAAATTATATGCTTGTTATTTTGTAGAAAAACAATAATAAAAATAAATAAATTAAATATTTTGAGAATTATAATTAATTAACATTTATACATAAAAAATAAGTAAATATTAAGGAAGTTTTTTCCAACTCGTTTACGACATTTAGGTTCACATATTTATAAGTCGTATCTTTTTTTATTTCTCACATGTTGCTCATAAGTTTTGTTGGTCGTATTTGTGGCCAACAACTTTTTACAAAGAAAAACTTCTTAGTGCACCTGAATGTTTTCCTCAATACCAGAACAGTTTCTCGTAAAAACTTCTTCAACTTTTAAGCGGTTTTTTATATGACTTTTGGATTATCCAAATAAATAGTAAAGTTAAAATGGTTTTATTGGTTTATGGGTTCACTTAATATAAGTTAATTTTCTGAAAATTTATGTACGACATTCGTATATATTTCTGTATACAGTATTTAGAATTCGATGAATTAATAAAATAATAAAAATAAAAAGAATTAAGGAATGGTAATTTATATTATTTAATTCAAATACAGAACTTTTCCAAACAATCCAACTCAAACGGAAGAGGTTACCTAATATTAATGCATAATTAGATTACTTATAATATTTTCATAATATAGTTGAAATTTTAATTATTATTTGTAAATATAGGTATGTAATAAAATAATCACAGATAAATTCTAGAAAAAAATGATTTTTTAATAAGATTTTATTTCGTTTAATAAAAATTTATACAAGAACGTTCCAAAACCTTATACATATTGCATTTCTTGTGTTTTTTTAATAAAAAAACATTTATACCTTGTTTACAAAAAAAAACACAATTCTTACATATTAAACATTTATTGAATAACCATAAGCATAACCAAAAAAATACATCATTTCAATCCCAAAAAATCGGAGTTTACTTGCAATATCCAGCCACCCAGCCAGGTTCCTTGTGACAACTTCCGGAACAGCAGTTACCTTGACTTCCGTCAGGTTGGCAGCCGTCGCCGTTGTTGATGCAGGCCAGAACCACGCTCTGGAAGCTCATGAGGGCGAACAGAACCACAAAAATCATACCCAAGAATTGCATTTTGAATGATATAGTGCCTGAAAGAATGATAAATTATATTAACTGTACTTTTTGTATAAAATAAATAATTTTTCTGTTGTATAAAAAATACAATTTTTATTAAAAGTAAATATTTACCTTTAGGAGATTTCACGAATATGTCTTTCAAGATATTGGTGTTAATAGAGAAGAAGTATGGCTTTTTATACAAAATGATCAATTTTAAATCGGGAAAACCAAAACCTTATACATATGTATGTATTAAAAATGACAATAACAAATTATTTATAGAAACTTAATTAATAATGCATCAATTAAATAGAATATACTGGCCTGTATTATAATAGAACTAAAATTAACTATCAATTAATTAAAGCTTCATTATCTTTATCAATTTAACATTCTGTGAACGCGAAAATTTTCATTTTCTCTTTCTGCTTCATTTCAAATTGGGTTGGGGTTTTAAAAAATATGTCAGCTATTTCTCATATCATAAATTTTTTGAACCATAATTATATGTTAATAAAACATAATATTTACATGAATTTACTTAATAACCACATTTAAAATTCATTAATAGAATTGTACACAAACAATTATTTAATTAATACTACTACTATATTTATAAACAACCTTGTGGTTTATTTAATTAGCAAAATAATTTTCCGAATGGATTACTAAATGTGTAACTAATAATGAACCACAAAAGATATTCGTTTTGTCATTTGGGTCAGTTGGATTTTTTTTAATAAGACCTTAAAAAAGAAAAAAATGGTCTCCTGGGTAACAAATTTACCAACTTATTAAAAAAACTTATATAAAATTGCTTAATCATTTTAAAAATATATTTTTTGCTTGTATTATTATAACCCTTTTAAGGTTTTATTTACACTAGGATTTGTTTAAAAAAAGAACAAATTTATTATTTATAAAATTATTTATTTATATATTTACTTACGTCGCATAAGTCGGCGTCCGGTCTCTAAGCTCATAATCCGACTATAAACACGAGCGTCTTTGAGGGAATACCATTTAAACGGTTAATATGGAGCCTATACCTCTGCAGGTTATCTGAGCGTCTGCAAAAAAGCGTACCGTTTCGAAACGGTTTTAAGTAAGCTTGGAACTTACCTTATTATTATTATTATTATTATTATTATTATTATAAATTATGTTTTTGGAAACTTTTTTATTTTATTTTTGTGTGTAGAATCTGCTCTTAAAGTATTTCTCACTAATTAACGCTAGATATTAAAATAAATTTAAGGAAAATATTTTTTACTTGATTTTTTTTGTATAATTATTTTTGTCTTTTAAAATACAATATTGGGATCAATAAAAACTATAAAAACCATTCTACTAGGTCATAAAATTTATTTAAAAAATATAAATCATTAATTTTAGAAAAAAAATTAACTTTTATTAGCCTTCAGAAAAAACTTGACTTTAATCCCCTACAAAACAATATAAAGGTTTTTTGTTTATTTGTTATATTTAATTGCTTATAAAACAAAAAATACCGAGAAAAAATTTTCCTTTCAAAATTCTTATTTTGGCGAGCGCTAATTAAAAAATGAAGATATAAGGCTGAAATTTTGACTCAATAATTATTATTTTTTATTTTTTTGTGACCAACTAAATAATTTTCATATGGGACCGAAAAAAAACCAAAAGTCGTTTTATTTGACACAGTCTAGGAAATACATAATAATGTATAATATATGTAGATATTATGTATGTAGATATATATATTATATGAAATCATAAAATCCAAAGTCGGTTAAATATGATAAAATATAACAATTTGGCATTAAAACCATTAATAAGCCATTTATTTTTTTATAAGTTTGAAAAAGTTTTGATATCTGTACAAAAAATTTTGATTTTTTTTACAAAAAAGTTTGATATTTTTACAAAATTACTTCTGGTCAAAACTATAGTCTATAGAGTCCCTTCATAAAAACGATCAAAAATATAACCTCAAAGTAAATTTACCCCAAATTAAAAAAGGACGCAAAACACCCTTCTCTGTTTTTCTGCCCAAATGGTCGAAAAAACTCAGAGGAAAATATATGTGACATTGACAATCGTGGCCCGACTCTGGTTATGAAGGGACTTTAGTCAAAACTAAAGTCCCTTGATTCAATATTTAGTTTTGACATTTGGACTTAGCTATATATATATATATATATATATATATATATCTATATATATATAAATATATATCAGTGGCGGCTGGTGGATTTTGGGCACACCCATATCTCAGTTATTAGACATGGGACCCACATCAAATTTATATGAGTTTATAATGACATTATGTAGACAAGTTCTGCGCAAGAAGAATTTAAATTAAAGTTTGCGAAAAAAAGTTAGTTTTTAAGTGCAACCCCCAGCCTCCTGCCCCTCCAAATTAAGATAATTCAAATTAAAGTGGTACAATATTTAATTCACTGAAGTTTATCGACAAATTTCAAATTTTATTTAAAAAATTTAAGAATTACAGGTTTTATACCATTTATAATTTTTATTATTTCTTTTACTAAATTTAAAAAAAATTGAACCAGCCGCCACTGATATATATGTACATGCATGTACAATTGGCGTCCCCGAAATGTGAACGATTTTTGGTTGTCATAGTTTTTTTTCATAAAATTTATTCGTTCATTCCTGGCTTTGGCCAGTGGTGTTACAAATAGAGGGAAAAATACTAAGAACAATATTCTAAATCGTTATTTTTTTAATAATATTTTAACAAACAATAATATAAACAATATTACAAATAAATGTACGTTAATTTGGTTTTGTACAACAATATTAACAAGTAGGTAAATAAAAAATATAAATAACATAACTAAATTAACATATTGCTTAAGAAAATTGGTCTTTATGTAAAATAGCTGCAGATTTAAATGTCTTAAGCTCTTCCCAAGATTTTCAATAGCATTCCGTAGTACATTTCGGTAAAATCTCCAACGAAAATTAAGACAATGCTCTTGTCGCACATATTAGGCAAAATCCTTTCAATAGCGCAGTTAAGGCCTGAGAAGATACACAATTTCCAGGATCTCTTCAAACAGCTCAAAAAAGATTGTAACAAGCTGGTTTAAAAAACTGTATTGCTGCTTATAAGCTATTTTAATGCTTAATTGCAGAGCCATTAGCTGCCACAACACTTTGCAACCTTTTTGGCCTGGACATTATTAGTTTACGCATGTCATATGACTCATCAATTTCTTCCCAAGAATTTTCAACAGCATTCCGTAGTTCATTTCGGTTTGCTGGCCTAAAGTCCCGTTGATATAATTTTTTAACTATAAAACCCCATACACGGAGAGAAAAGTATATTACTGATTACCATAATTATAATACCCTTTACTATATTATATATTACTATTTGGGACAACTATCTTGTATATTGCCAGTTACTATGCATATTTAGTAATTTTTAAATATCCATGTATATTAAACCTTAAGGGTATTATTCTCAACCAATTTTGTTTTTAATTCTTATTATAATTAGATAGTAAATTTTAAAAATAAATATAATAGATATGTAACCCATAAGAAACTAAATAGTGTATTTTATTATTTTGTATAATACATTTAATTAAATCATATAGTAAATATTACTATTTGTAGATAGTAAAATCAATTTACTATACGAATATATTCAAAATTAAAATACGTATTATACATTTTTGATCTAATAATATTGGTGTTGTAATCTTTACTAAAATTGTATAATAAAAAATACTATTTCGTATTACAATCTTTATATTTTACTGACGAATATTTAATATTGTTAAACTAATCATTTTTTAAAGTAAATTTTAATATATTTTTTTAACTATCTAAAATTTACTATACATTTCTCTCCGTGTACGTTTTCAATGGCGTTTAAGTCAGGACTTCTAGCTGGCCATGGCAAAACAGTTATGTGGTTGTTGTTTACCCATTCTGTAACCACGCGAGCTGTGTGAACTGGTGCATTGTCCTGTAATATAATATTTATTAGAATTATTTTTTTATACTTTTGTATAGTTTTCTAACATGTTGGAATATAAAATTTTCTGGAAACATCTATCTAACTGAAGCTAGCATAACGTTGTCCAAAATCGTCGTATAGTGCTCAGCCGTTAATCTACCATCAATTTCCCAACATATTCCCGCACCATATATGGTCTATAGACGCTTATCCACGCCCAAAAATTTATAGAAAAGCGTCCACTATTTGAGGTTCTTAATGTGTAGTTCTTAAATCTTGCGTCTCTTGGACGATATACATGCAGCCTTCCATTATAGGAAGATTGGAAGGTTTTTTCATCAAAAAATATAACATTATTTCAAAATTCCTTTCCATAATTTAGATAGTCATTGGCGAACTGAGTTCGCTTATTTTCGTCAGTTAAAAAAACCTTATGAGCAGCAGCACAGTTTTTTAAGCCAGCTTGTTTCAATCTTTTTTGAGCTGTTCGAAGAGATCCTGGAAATTGTGAATCTTCTCGGGCCTTAACTGCACTATTGAAAGGATTTTGCCTAATATGAGCGACAAGAGCATTGTCTTCATTTTCGTTGGAGATTTTACCTACACCTTGCCTGATAGGTCTTCTTAATCTTTGTTGTTCTTGCCAACGTTTCTTGATATAAAATATGCAGCTTTTACTGACATTTAAATCCGCAGGCACTTCACGTAAAGACCAATTTTCTTCTAATTTGGCTATTGCCCTGGACCTCTCAGCCTCAGTTAAGTTGGGTGGCATTTTTGATATTGCAATTGACAACTATTATCAAATTTGACAACTACCGACGACACTGATGCAAAGCTCATATTACACGATTAAATTTTGCCGTTCACATTTCGGGGACGCCAATTGTACATGCTCTCTTGTAAAATTATAAAGAAAATTCCACACCTGTAATTTTTAACCAATCAAAACGTGTATTTTTGATAGATCACCATGGCAACGGTTGAATTTTAGTGGAAATTTTTTCCTCGTGGGTACCCAACAGCGAATTATACTGGAAATTTTTTGACGTTTACAATGACAGAATATTTGTTTGACAATCTGGTTTTTATTTGTTTACATGATAATTTTGATACATTTCCATTACAAAGTTTAGATGTTTTCTATATTCGTTGGACACCTCCTTTCTTCTTAATGGCGAAAATGCAGGACTTGAAATAAATTAAATGTCTATGTCTAATGAAATATATATAATATTTAGACACTATTCTATTCACCTTTTTTTCCATTTAGCACCTTGAGTTTTGAATAGTTAAGATGCAAATATTCGTGAACAATTCAAAACAAATTTTCTTTCTTCAAGTAGGAGCCACAATCCTCTAATAATGCGGGTAAATAAGTCATTGCACGATGATTGATCATTACAGCAGACAATTTCACATTTTTTTACGTCGTGCCGCTTGACAGCTTCAAAACTGAAATAACTTTTAGGTTGGGGTTGACTTAGTTGCCATGGTAACTAAATAATCAAGTCAAGGTCAAGTTAAATCCATAGATAACAAAGCCTTTAAATCAAAAAATAAATTTTAATTATTTAA